ATGTAACTTGATTACTAACCCAATATCCAGATTCTGCACTTGCAGTATAATTCTATTTGGTGGTGCTGGATAGATGACGACTCGTTGTGGGCAACGGTAACGAGAAACATACAAATTGTAGATTTGAACACATCCATTGACCTGAAAGCAGTTTATAAGCTAATCATTTGCTGAGAAATCAGATTTAAGGAATTTTTTGGTCATTCGGCAAATAGCTCATGCAGTTTAATTGGTTATGCAGAAGAAGATCAGCTTACAGGAGAAGAAAACTGAATGGGGAACACTTTAGGGAAGTGCTCAAACATAAAAGTATTGAAAAAAAGGGCAAAATTCTTCTTTCCTAACAGTCTTGCAGACAACATTTCCTGATTTTGATTTGGGGCAAATTTCTCGCTGATTTCCATTTGGGTTTGTTTTGGTTTTCTTACAAGGTTTCCAAAACGAAAACACAGCTCAGCTAAAATTCTTAACAATGTCATCTAGCCATCTCCTGCTTTTTTTCCAATTCTCATGCTAATTGTACTGAAATTACGGTAGCTCTGACTAGAATTTAGCGAACCACGTCCATACCTGCGGAATGCATTGCGTGATTGGAGGGATTCTGGCCTTCTTGATTTCTTGATTTAGCAATTCGCCGATCAATCCGCTGGCATACTGGAACGCTCGTTGATTTATCCGAGCTCGGATTCCAGGATATCCACGGACTCCTTGCAAAAGGATTGGATTGAAGTCAGGTGCCGCGACAGCGCCGCCGCCAATAGGGCCACCGATAGCGCCAACACCGCCAACAACGCCAGCAACACCGCCACCATAGTGACCGACACCACCACCATAGCCTCCTCCTCCACCGGCTGAGATGAGTTCCGCGAGCCACGCGAGGATAACAATCTACAACTTCCCAAACGTTTTCATGGAGAATCCCAAAAAGTCCTTCAAACCCTTACCTTATGCACAATCATGCCGTTGCGGGCCGCGATGGTGAAGGACCTGAAAAGATTTCCTTAATGGCATGATATTATGGAGATAGCTCTACGCGAAGAAAGCGAAACGGCGAAGGAGAAAAAGTCGAAACGAGTTTAGCCTTGAGCAAAGGCGCCACACAAAAACTGTAACGGATCGGCTCTGGGACAAAAAGTAGCGTAATGGAGAAGATTCAGTGAAAAAAAATGAGAGAAAATTGCCAAACAATGTTGTAAAAGGTGAATGTGCG